TCCGGCCTCTGCGCCTCGTTCAGCCCCGGCGTCTTCCTCTCTCGGCTTCTCTGGTCGCCCCCACGTTCTCTCTCCCACACTCGGCTCTCAGTCCTCCCCACCCCTCGCCATTCCCTTCTCCGAGGCAAGTTTTTAAACTTTGATGAACTCTTTCAGAGAACTTTTCTTAAAGGAGCCGCACGGGTTTGGGTGGAACTTGAGGTGCCCGGCAGGCGCGCTGCATCCCCAGCCGGAGCGGCGGTGCTCCCGCTTCCGTGCCTTGATGTGGGGTTGTAGACTGTCTTGAGCACCGCATTCATCCCCAGATTCCTGGGGGCTCCCGCCCAGCGCTTTTCCTCGCGCGCGGCGGCTTGGGGGCCGGGTTCTCGGGGTGAAGGCGGGGAAGGGGGAGGGCGGCAAACACCTGATCTTGAGCTCGGCACCCGGTGGTTGTGCTGAGTGACCTTGAGGAAATCACTTCCCCTCTCTGGCCGGAGGCTTCCAACCCAGAGGGTGGGAATTAGAGTACAAAATCTCCCCCCTCCTCCCCACTCCCGTCAACTCAAAGAGGAATTTTAGGGAGCCTACTCGTTTTCTGCTACGGGAAGGGGTACCTCGAATGACCTAGAAGGTTCCGTTCGTTACCTCCAGCCCACTTTTAAGATTCCTCACGGCTTGCTCTTTTTCCGCTCCAATTCCGAATCCCAGGGTGGGAGGGAGGGAAGAGCGGGCTGACGCCTAGGGCGGGGTCACCTAGACTCCCACCCCACGGTGGCCGGGGGTGCGGCCTTAGGGTCGGATTTTCCCCCTACAGTATAAACGCTGACCCGGACCGTCTGCTGCCTACAGCTTGTAAAACCGGCCCCTGGCCCTGACTGCCCTGCGGAGCCGTCGGAGCGTTGGGGTCCTTTTCTCCGCACCCCTCCCCCGGTCATCTTTGGGCAGCTGTAGCTGAGCGGTGAGGGGTCCTGGCCCGGGTCAGGCGTTCCCGAGCGCGATCTGCTGGGCCGACTTAACGCATGGAACTTGGGTCTTAGTATCGGGATTTGGGGCGAGAGGCCGCGCTTAGAGACGGTGAACGTGAAAACCCTTGGTCTGCACTCCTGTACCAATTAGGAACCTTGACCTTGGGCAGTGGCTTAGTCCCTGAGAACTTCCCTGTGCCGACTTGCCAAATAGTTAGCTCCGTCAAGCGTGAGAGCTGTTGTGGCCGACCTCCCTGATAACTTGTCGTCCTAATATGTCATCTCACGGGTAAGTAAATTGAGGTTTTTGCCAGTGGTATATTCACCCATTTGGGAAATATTGTTGAACCCCTACTGTGACCTGGATGGGGGTGCGCTATACTTACTGTTGGCACAGAATTCCCACCACACCAACGACTGGTTCGGGCCCTGCTTTCTGTAGGAATCAGGTACTGACAATCTGAGGTTAATGCTCTGCCAGAGTTTTCGTACTTCCAGCTTCCGGCATCTCCAGGTGATACCAATCTTGTGAAAACTCAGATACCTCTACCACATTTTCCGCTCCTGCAGACCATAAGACCCTTGAAGTCTTCCTTTGCCAAAGAGAAATTCCCCTTCCTCCCTTCTCTCAGTATCCTGTTGTAGCTTGGACTTTTTCCAGAGGAGAAACCCAGTCAGTGTTCTAAACACAGGTATCCTCTATAGGGTTGATTTGAAGTTTTCTAATAGAGAGGCTTCTTGTAGTTAAGGGCTCCATTTTATTGATGGGGAAGCTGAGGTCCAAAGAAGTGGCAGATGAGGCAAGGGCCTCCAGAGCCCCATCTCTGCATTTTCATGTTACGAAGCTGGTAATGTTTCTAAAAGTAATACTTCTTTTCTAGTGCTGTACGCACTTTGTAAATACTGAAAAATACGGAAAATGGAGAACAGCCCTGCTGTCTAAGGCACAAGATTATTACACCCTTCTAGTCCATTCACTGTGCATACTTTAAAAATAAAAATTACACTCTATTCTGAAAATGCACCTTTTGATTTTTTTATTTTCTTTGTTTTTCAAGGCAGGGTTTCTCTGTAGCTTTGGAACCTGTTCTGGAACTAGCTCTTGTAGACCAGGTTGGCCTTGAACTCACAGAGATCCACCTGCTTCTGCCTCCCAAGTGCTGGAATTAAAGGCTTGTGCCATTACTGCCTGTCTGTACTTTTTTTTTTTTTTAACAGATTCTTTACTCAATTTTTGGTGTCCACCTCTCCACTTTTTCGAGACAGGGTCTTTTTTTTTTAACCATCTCTTGTTAAACATTATTTTTATTTTTCTTCTTTATTTGCTTTCATAAGCAACATTTAAAAAAAAAGAATATTCCTTGCTGGGCATGGTAGTGCATGACTTTAGTCCCAGCACTCAGGAGGCAGAGGCAGGTAGAGCTCTGAATTTGAGACAAGCCTGGTCTGCAGAGTGAGTTCCAGTTCCGGGCCAGCCAGGACTACACAGAGAAATCCTGTCTCAGGAAAAACAACAACAACAGCAACAAATACTCCTTTTGTATAAGCATATGTGCCTGATTGTGTGTAGTGCATGCATGTGCCCGGAGTTCTTCTAGAGTTGGATCCTCTAGAAGAATAGCAGCTGCTCTTAAATGCTGAACCATCTCTCTAGTCTCATAAATAACACTTTTTAGGAAGATTCATGTGTCTGCTCAGGGAGTGTGTAGGTGACATGCCTGTGTGCATCTGGAGGCCAGAGCAAGACTTTGAGTCTTTTTCACTCAGTCTTTCTTTGCTGGGTCTCGCTGAAAGGGAAGCTCTGCTCTTTCCACTAGGCTAAGGAGCTCTCAGAATTTACCTGTCTCTGCTCCCCAAAGCTAGGGTCATAAATATGTAGCCATGTCTGGCATTTTACATCCATGCTGAGGATTTGAACTTACACTTGCTGAGTAAGTCTCTTACCTGCTGAGCCATTTCCCCAGAACCATAAAGATTCTGAACATGTCAGAAAAGAGTCCTGTATGGGTGACACCCCTTAGGCACTTTGGAGGCACCTGTCTTTTCTGTGCCCACAATCCCTGGAAATGCATCTCCACAAAGAGACTTGAGATCAGAAAGACCGGGAGGCTCTGCCCAGCCCACTATTCCCTGTGTGTATTGGGATTTTTTGATACTGCCCACAGAATCATTCCTCATCAGGCTAGGAAGGGGAGTTGTAGGAGCACAGTTTGACTTCCTGCCTGAGGATGGGACTTTCACCTGTCTCCTCCAGCTGTGGCATTAGTAGCTCAGCTTCCAGCAATCTCCTAAGTGTCTTCCAGCGTCTGCTCTGAGCTTCTCATACTTCTGTTCTCTGCAGTCTCCCTACTCCAGCTTGCCCTTCCTCAGTCCCCCTCTCCACATGCTCACAGTGCCTTCTCTCTTTCGACCCTGGGAATACCTCGTTTTGTTTTGGAATCTTGCCTACTGCCAAATTCTAGGGAGTAGCCTGCTGGAGGAGTAGCCTCCCTAAAGAACTTGACCAGTGGTTTTCCATTAGGTTGAATAATACTGGGACTGCTTCTGCAGGATGCTTCAGGGCTGTCTGGTGCCTAAGCTCCTTTCTCGGATTATCTATACATGTATTTCTTGTTATGTATTTGTTTTCTTACTTTTTTGCGACAAGGTCTCACTAGCCCTGATTGACCTGGAGCCTGTTATGTAGACCAGGCTATACTCAAACTCAGAAATCCTCCTGCCTTTTCCTCCTGAGTGCTGGGATTAAAGTCATATACATACCATCATTCCCAGCATTCCCAGTCACAATATTTCTCTTTTTTTGTGGGGGGGGGAGGGTTTCTCTGTAGCCTTGGTTATCTTGAAACTACCTCTGTTGACCAAGCTGGCTTTGAATTCATAGAGATCTGCGTGCCTCTACCTCCCATGTGCTGGGATTAAAGGCATTCACTACCACTACCACCCCTGGCAATATTTAATTCTCAAGAGTGGGAAAAAATTCCAGAAGAAAATGAAAAAAAAAAATCTAGGAAAAAAAAATCAGATAACCTCACTCCTGTGAGGAAAACCGCCTTGTGTATCTGGGCACTCTAAAGCAGGTCAGGCATTCTGACTTCAACCATTCCACTGCAAGATCCTGAGCACAGGTTGAGGATGAGCTTGAGGCTTATTTTCTTGGTTGCTAATGGGGTTTAAATTCCAACCTTTTAGGTGAAATAGGTCTGTGGGGGAGGGGACAAGAGGCTGTTCCCTGTTAAAGCACCTTGTTCTCTAATCCCCGTATTGTTCCTGCTCGCTCTAGTTACAGACTAGAAAACTGGGGCTCAGAACTATTGGAGGAGGGGTCTCCTAGTCCTTAGTAAATACCGTTGGATGTCAGGGAAAGGACCTGAGTTTCATTCTCCAGCACTCACATAAAAAGCACCTTAGTAATCCCAGTGGGGAGAGACACAGAGAGGATTCCTGAGGCTCCCAGGCCAGCCTTGCCTTATCAGCCAGCTCGGCTTATCAGCCAGCTCAGGTCCAAGTGAGATACTCAAAAAAAAAAGAAAAAAAAAATAGTGAATTGCTCCTGAAGAATTAGTGTCCCTGCATACTTTATTCCCAGCACAGGAGGCAGAGGCAGGCAGATATTTGTGAGTTCAAGGCCAACCTGGTCTACATAGCAAGTTCTAGGACAGCCAAGGATACAAACATGGGACTCTGACTGTGGGATGTTGAGCAAGCCACTAGCCAAGTATCAAATAAATAATCTATAGAATTGCAATAGTAGTGTTCAGTTGCAGGAAGGTCAGCTAAGAGCTAGCAGTATCTGCAGGTAAGTTAGACCTGAGTCATCCACAATACCTCTCCTCCCAGAGTAGATTGATTTATCAGAAGCCCTGGGTCTGCATCCAGGTCACCTGGCAACTGTGCACCCTCAGGCAGGACATTTACTCTCTAAGACTTTGCTTTCCTCAAGTAAAACTAGGGACTGTCAAGAGGGTCACTCTCGTTTCCTGAGTAGTGTATGAGCTCCTAACCCTGACAGGTCATTGATGACCACAGAGTCCAAGGCAGTGGGAGGCATGGTTATAAGATCAGGAGAGGGATAGACTAGGAACTTCACTCCGAGCCCAGACTTCTAGAAAGACACTATCTTCTCCCCAAGACACACCAAAAGATGTTTGTACTGCCTCTCTCCACCACTGGCTGAAAATTAGAAGTCAACCAGAAGAGAGAAATGTGTCTTTCTTCTTTATCTCCCATCTGTGACTTCTGAGTGTCTTCCCCAGGTCCTAACAGGAAGATTTCAGGGACTGGGAAGAGTGCATGTTTAGGGGCAAAGTATACGGTTTGTAATGGTAAAAGTAAAATGCTGCGGATCCCCGAGTGGCGGCAGTGGGCCATGAGACCACTCCACAGGTCCCCGAAGTGGTGGCGGGCAGCAGGTCCTGAGAGCAGCCAGTCCCAGGCAGGGATGGTGCAGTTCCCTGAGTGGCTGCAGTGGCCCATGAGGAGCAGCGAGTCCCAGGCAGGGATGAGAGACCTTGACGGGGAAACCAGTTCAACAAGGAGAGACAAATGGATGGGCATGCCACGGAGACCAAGCGGCAGGTCTTCAAAGGTGGCTGATCCCTGGCAGGGAGCCATGCATCCGACCAGAGTCTGCAGACAGGTAGGCACGCCATGCAGAGTGAGGTTGGATATTTATTTGGTGGGTTATGGAGGGGAAAGGGAAGAAGGGGAGACGAGCAGAGAGAGAGAAACAGGGGGGAAAGAGAGGAGCCACAGCAGCAGCTACCTCTGTAGGAGAGAAAGAGAAAAGGGAAGGACTCAGACTGGCAGCTGAAGATCAGCTTGCCTCAGCCGACTGGAGGGGGCGTGGCTTGTCTCTTAAAGAGACAAGACAGATCATTGCACGGTTCTGTTTACTACTTACCAGGGATACTGTGGTGGTTTGAATGTGGCACCCATAGGCTAATATATTTACATGTTTGGTTCCCAGCCGGTGGATTATTTTGGAAGAATTAGGATATGTGGCCTTGTTGGAGTAGATATGTCTCTGGGCTCACCTCTCAACTACTACTCCTGCCTGCTGCCACACTCCCCACTGTGATGATGACTAACACTCTGAAACTCTAAAGCAAGCTCCCAATTAAGAGCTGTGTTTTAAAAATTGCCTTGGTCATAGTGTCTCCTTTAGAATAGTAACTAAAGCCGGGTAGTGGTGGCGCATGACTTTAATCCCAGCACTCGGGAGGCAGAGGCAGGCGGATCTTCGTGAGGCCAGCCTGGTCTACAAGAGCTAGTTCCAGGGCAGGCTCCAAA